GACTGTCTTACCCAACACAACATTGGGTAGGCAGGAGAAGGTGGGATATTGCTCAGCACTGCAAGTGTTGCAAGAATCTTGTTTATGACATTCTTAGATTCAAGAGAAAAGGGATTGGAAAGACTGAATACAAAGGTATGTGCATGCACAATGTAGGCCCTATTCACACCTTTGTGATTTACCGTGTATTGCGCAATCTGCATTAGAGTGATTCTAAAGGTTAAAACGTTATACTTACCTGCTCTGTGTAATGTTTTTACACAGAGCATCTCTGAGCCTCTTATTTTTTTGTGTCCATAGCCAGTGGTCCTGGCTCCTCCCCACGCTGAGTGCTCCCAATAGCAAGCCTTAATTGCAAGCTCTCTCCTCATTGGCTGACTGGCTGTGATTGACAGCAGCATGAGCCAATGACTCCCACTACTGTGTGAGCCAATGAGGAAAGAGAGTCCTGGAGAGCTGAAGCTCTCATGCACATTGCACAGAGTGCATGAATGTCAAAAATTTCTGCCTTTTGAACCACTTTAAGTATTGACAAGAGAACTGCCATTGTTTTCAATGGGTCTGTTCACATCTTTGTGTTGCATTAAATGTTGTCTTTAAAAATAGTATGTGATGCGTTTTTGGTGCGGCAAGGCAACTTTTTGGCCACATACACTTCAGTTGCAGTGCATGAAAATACATTTCACATGAATTTTAGCACATAACAAGTTCCCACCTCCTAGCAATCTCTACTTAATTCCAGTGGAGCAGCTAATAAGGGACTTTGGGTAGTGGGGTCCCCACTACCCAAAGTCCCTTATTAGCTGCTCCCTGGAATTAAGTAGAATTGCTAGGAGGGTGGGAACCTAAAATTCATGTGAAATGTATTCATGCACTGCAACCGAAGTGTATGTGGCCAAAAAGTTGCCTTGCCGCACCAAAAACGCATCATATACTATTTTTAAAGACAACATTTAAAGCCCCGACTCCCAATATGAGGACAGTAGGAGGCGTCAGAGGGCCTTGGAGAAAGTTTGCAGTGACCTTTTCACCAACTTGGAAAGAGATAATTTTATCAGTTGGTTTAGGACCTACTGTTATTGTTTATTGTAATAACTCCCTTAAACTTTTAAACTATGCTTGTAAAATTTTCTGCTGCCTTTTCTTATGGTGTACTTTCATGCAGGATACTTCCATTGTTCAATATTTTAATAGTTTAGCACAGACAGGTCTGGGAGAAGTTTGACTGATAATATAATCATATGAATAAAGGCTGTCAGGACTAAACATAAGCAAAGTGAATTTTTTTTTTCTTGTAAGCTAGGACATGCATTTGTTATGGTGGGTTGACGTTTGTTTTAAAAATTTGTAGCACATGTTTACGGTTACCATACATGTTACAATCTGAATGCACAAACCTTTTAGAACCAACTTTAGATTTAACAAAACAATGTAATGAGAGGACCTTCCTAAACTATCCAGTTTGTATTTTATTTGGCAGGCCCTTGCATTCCATACTGTAGGTGTTGGTAGATCTAAAAGAGATTGTAAAATCAGATTGTAAGAAGTATGGTAAGCTAGTTTATCTGTGTAGTGGTTGTGAAGCAAAGTGCTGGCTTGGTGCCCTGCAATAATGTCTGCAGGGCTTCAAGCCAGCACTTTGTATTCTAAACCATAGTAAAACCATTTAAATAAGTAAATAACTCTACATGAATAATTGAAAGGAATACAGATAATTATAAGTGCTTTATGCAATTTTTTTAACATAATTTTAAAATAACAAACAATAATTGGTAGTGATTAAACATATGTATATTTTTTTATTGAATGTGAAGTTTAGTGGGCTTCATTAAGGAAGTTCCGAAGGAGTACTTAGTAGGGATAGGGTTTGGTGTGTGATGTACTTCACTGCCTCTTCATGCCTTGTGCAGCGTCTGCCCCTTTTTCCACTGTTACTTTTCCCATTACACCTGAACCAACCCCACCTCTAGATACATACCCACCACAACCTACCCCAGCTGCATGAACATTTTCTCACCCACGATCCTTAATTTTAACCTCTCCCCACCTTTCTCATCCAGCTACCCATATTCTTCTGCTTAATACCGAGACCATCCCCCTGCTCAGCTATCTGGTCCCATTTCAGCCCACATCCCTTCAACCTTCCACATTGGTAACTTCCATGATCCAAAACCAGTATGCTTTTTCAACTACCACTTCCACTACATCTTCATTTTCCTCATAGTCTATACCACTACCGACAAAATTCTCCTTTTCCCTTTTCCTTCTGTAGTAGTTGTGCATAATAATAATAATCAATCAGCTTCTAGCTTAAGCATGTTCAGTCAAGCTTTGAAAATGAAAGCTAGAAACTGGTTGGTTGCCATGCACAGCTGCTCCAGATTCCGTCTGCTCCAGTCTTAGTAAATTCTCCTCTGCGACCTTCTACAAGCTGCATACAGTTACTACCATATGTGATCACAATTTTATGTTTTTTATATTCTGCATTGTCTAAATATATCAGATTTTTTTGGAATTTAACAAATATTCCAGTAAAATAAATTCTATCTATTACAAAAGTTACAAGATACAGTATGCACTATATATTGTTTTGGGTCATTGCTGGAATTTAAATAATAGTTCTTGAAAAAATGTATAACAAAGCTGAAAAAAGAATAAGTTAAAGTACAATCTATTTTATATCTACTGTATATGTATATTGTTTGAGATGTTGGAGAACTTGTCAGAAAGGAGAACTTTCAGAGAGGTAAATTTGCCTCAACGTGATGTTCTCTTGCTCCAACTGGCTAGAGAGTAAACCCTGCAACTCATCAGAACAGTGAAGAAAAAAATTGGACTTAGTGGTCACTACTGGTGCAGCTCTGCATAGAAACCAGTCAGCTTCCAGTTTTATTATCAAAGCTTAATTGAACAAGCTGAAGTTATAAGCTGATTGGCTACCATGCACAGCTCCACCAGATTCTGAGTGCTCCAGTTTTAGTAAATCTACCCTAATGCCACCTTGGACATGAGCCATTAGATGAGATAGTGTCACTTTTACTGGCATGTTGCAAAGTGACCAGGTCTATTTAACTATAGTATTTTAGTGATATAAGGAGTATAATCACATACATTCCATTTTTTACTGACAATTGTATGTAACTGAGGAATTTTCCTTGTGCAGGGAGGTCATTATCCATGACCAAAAAAAATGGCCTCTCTCTTCTCTATTAGTGAAGTCTGCTCTCCAATTTCATCGAATGTGCAAATGACAATACCAGCTAACGCATTTAGGGGGACTGACCAATATCCTTAGAGCAGTGCTAGCATTAGCTGGTATTGTCATCCACACATTTGTTGAAATTCGAGAACGGACATCTGAATTCTGTGCTTTTATGTTATGTCATCATTCTTATTTGGCTCGTGAGTATAATATGTTTTCTTTTATCCTTTAATAAAGTGCTGGAGATAATGCACTAGACATTTGCGCCCTCTTTGTCTCTTGTTGTTAATTCTATATTTAGCATTCATTTCAGATTTAAGAAAAACTTCCAAGACATACAGTGCTGTGAAAAAGTGTTTGCCCTCTTCCTGATTTTTGTTTTTTGCATATTTGTTACACTTAAATGATTCAGATCATCAAACAAATTTTAATATTACAAGAAGGTAACCCAAGTAAATACAAAATGCAGCTTTTAAATGATGAAGGGAATGAAGGGAAAAAAAAGCTGTCTAAACCTGTCTGGCCCTGTGTAAAAAAATAATTACTCCCCACCTTTGCTAAATCGTTAATGAACTAAAATGAACCACATTTTTTGGAAAGCTGAGTTAAATTCCACTTACCACACCAAGGCCTGATTACTGCCAGACCTGTTGAATCAATAAATCACCTAAATAGAAGCTGTTTTCTGAAGCACGTTAAAAGATCTCTAACAGCAAAACATCATGCCACGATCTAAAAAAATTCAGGGACAGATGGGAAACAGAGTAATTGACATGTATCAGTCTGGAAAGGGTTACAAAGCCATTTCTAAGGCTTTGGGACTCCAACGAACCACAGAGAGCCATTATGCACAAATAGAGAAAATGTGGAACAGTGGTGAATTTCCAGTAGTGGCTGACCTTCCAAAATTAATTCAAGAGCACGACGATGTCTTAAAAGAGCCCAGAACAACATCTAAAGAACTGCAGGCCTCACTTGCCTCAGTTATGGTCAGTGTTCATGATTCAGCAATAAGAAATAGACTGGGCAAAAATGGCATCCATAGGAGAGTTCTAAGGCCGCTGCTGACCAAAAAAGAACACAAAGGCTCCTCTCACATTTGCCAAAAAAAATCTTTATTATCCCCAAGACTTTGGGAAAATATTCTGTGGACTGATGAGATAATAGTTAAACTTTTTGGACAGTGTGCGTCCCATTACATCTGGCATAAAACGAACACAGCATGTCATAAAAAGAATATCATGCCAATGGTCAAACGTGGTGGTGGTAGTGTGATGGTCTGGGGCTGCTTTGCAGCTTCAGGACCCGGTTGACTTGCCATAAGTGATGAAACCATGAATTCTGCTCTCTACCAGAAAATCCTGAAGGAGAATGTGCGGCTGTCAGTTTGTGACCTCAAGCTCAATCGCACTTGGGTTAGGTAGCAGGGGGATTAGGGGCAATTACTTTTTCACATAGGGCTAGGCAGGTTTGGACAGCTTTTTTTCTCTTAATAAGTGAAATCATAATTTAAAAACTGCATTTTATATTTACTTTTTGTTATTTTTTGTGTAATATTCAAATTTGTTTGATGATTTAAAATATGTATGACAAATATGCAAAATAAAATCAGGAAGGGCAAATACTTTTTTTACAGCACTGTATAACCCCATATTAGATTAAGTCACTGTTAATTTTAGTCTGTACTCAGTTGTCCTTTAGTATTACTATATACTGTATAACATATCATTCCATTCATACATGTTTAGTAGTTATCTACAAATGTGAAATATTAAAATATTGATTTGTTTTGTTTTAGTTCACTGTTCACAAAGCCTTAGAAGAAATAAAGACAACAGGATCCTTTATTGCCCAGTCGGCCCCAAAACTGCCCTGTCTGGACATTCCAGTTGAATTTCTGGATCCTCTTTCAAGGATGAGAAACTCTGATATCATCTGCTCTGTTGACCCATCAGATGGAGGGAAAAGTGGTACCGATATGGATCTTTCAAACGTGAGTGCTGGAAAATTGGTAAGAACATTTTATGTGCTCTTTAAATGTTTTATATCTTTATAGGACTCTAAATTTCAGCATTTTCCTGGTTAAATATGAGTGTGTAATAACTGCTGATTGGATGCTGTTCAAATTGTATGGTATGAAGCTTGGGTATGATGAAGATGTGATCAACGTAGTATTAGTGCAAGGAGGTAAATTGGTATGTAGGGAATGATGGCCTAGTGGATAAATATGATTTTGTTTTCACAAAATGCAACTAAATTAGCAAATAAGCCAGTCAGCTTAAAAAACTAGATAGATAATACAGTTACCTTCTTTCTTCCAGCCTGGCTGCTGTGGGTTAGTTAAATTTGTAGCTGTCACCTAACATGGCTGTTTTGTACTATCCACGTGTCATATTTAAAACAATTATTTGCAGTTTTGAGGTAGATTTATGAATCTACAAATCTCGAACCCCCATTTTCCCTTCCAGGTTTTTTTGGAGACTACAGAATGTTTAGGGTCTCTATTATTTTAGTCACCTATCTAAATAGAGGTAGTCCATCCAAACTGGTAGCCGTTAAGGACCATCTAGTACCTTGTTTAGCATATTGAAATTTTGTCTTAACAAACCCTAGTGAGAACAGAGTATACCTTTCTTGGTTTATGAAGGACAGCAGTCAAAACAAGGAAAATTAGTAGTGTGTATTTATCTTTTTTTATTGCTCAGGTCAGTCTTTTCTAAATATAGATTTTAAAGTTGGTAGATATAAAGATACCGCAGCAGTTGGTGGGTGCCAAGAGTGAATGCTGGATGATGACTATTTGCTTTTTTTTCTTGGTGGCAGAATGTTGTTTGTCAAAAACGTTGGGGTTCCCCTAACCCCTTACAGTATGATGCGAGTGTCAGCTATTTAATGGAAGCAAATCTTAACAATGTCTCTCTTTTATCTAATTGTTTCTTCTCATGGTGTACTTGTTCAGAACAGGTAAACTCTTCTCATCACTCTGCAGTTCTGTTACAGATGTTTAGGATGAATGGTTCAATAATACAAACAACCATTTTGTTATATTGTGGCATTGCATGTTAATTTGTGCTCTGTCCTTTACTAAACAAATGCATGTGAGAATGTGCGATGTAAAAGGAAGCTCAGAGTGTGAGCTGCCTAGCTTTTTCAGCCTACGCATTTGCTTTTTTATATACTGTATATATTGTCTTTGTGTGAAGAGAAAAATGATTTATATCTACATACATCTCAGCAATACATGTGCATTTCCCCATGTTTCCTGCATGTACAGAAAAATACTTGGTGATCCCGTCAGAAATTAAAGTTCCTATTGATATAGGCATGCCCACAGCATTACATCTTCGAAAACACTTTCCTGCACATGGAGTGTGGGCAGGCTGTTGGAAGTCGAGAATAGTATGGTTTTGCTGGGAAGGAAATCAGTGTATGTATATGGAGGGGAGCGGGAATACACAGATCTATTAGTCCAACAGAGGAGAAATAAGGCATGGCTGATTACACTGCTTGGGATATCAATACAGCAGAGACACTGTTGTTATCTCACTACAGGTTTAGGAGCTCACTAGATGATTTCAGGCAGAATCTGCAGGTATTTTTCTGTACTTAAAGCATGACAAAACATAGGGAAGCATGTATGTATTGAAGATGCTATATGTACTTAATTTGTTTTTTAATTTTCTGTAGACATACACTTTAAGCAGTGAGATGAAGTGATTGTAGTGGTTAATCTATTTCTTACACCTAATCTACTATTTGCTACATTTAATGCCATAGCAAAATAAATGAAAGAGTAATCATATAACAGTGTAAAAAACACAGCAGAAATGTCTTTGAAGTAAAATACTACTCTAATAACTCAAAGTATTTGCACACGTATACTTTCCCTTTAAAAGGACTGAACACTGTACCTTGTTTCTGCCGTTTGTCAGTGCCCCTGTCTGCATACAGATCCCCACTTTGCCCAGCTAGCGCTTTCCTAATAGTACCAGTATGCCATTAAATTCAGAAAACCCCATAGCTTCAAAAGGTAAGTGTTAGAGTGCTAATTTTATCAGTTTAGGTTAGAGAGTAGAGGAGGGGGTGGTAGACTAGCTAAACGTGATTTAAGGGTTTAGATCTACTTTAAAAGGAGGGTTCATTCAAGGATAACATTTCAATCGATGTCTCTGGTGGGTTGATTAGCCACTTTCTGTTGGTTCCAGTGGCAGCAATCCCTTCCAGGGTCCTTCATTTTGCTTCAACCAATAGCAATTTGACTCATCCCATTTCTGTATTCCCCTATTAGATACTGTAGTTGAGTAAGTGAGGAATACATTGGATATCCACTAAACTAAAGCCAGCCATAAATGGATCGAAATTCGTCCAGTTCAGCAGGGACCAGCTGAGATTCGATCCATGTTTCGGCAGGCTTGGGCACAACTGCCTGTTGGATTTTTCACATTCGGTTATTGCCAGCGACTATAGCCACTAGTAGTAATCATTGTGTACTGCTGGCCAGGAAGGCTCCCTGTGCCTCTCCCTGTTGGCAGAACACAACAGCTCTTTGGAAGGCACAGTCAACGTTGACGGGGGAATCAACTAGATTTTCTTCCTTCCACCCATGGTGGAAAGAAAGAAATTCCAGTCATCTTTGGGCTACTTAAAACTGGCCATACATGGCTCAGATTTCAGATGATTTCTGTGAATTGGCTGATATTCAGGTTTTGAATGGCCCTGCTGACACCACCCAGTTCGACAAACCTCTCGAGAAATTGAAGGGTGGAAAAAAAACTTAGCCAATCAGCTGCAGTTACTGTTTGGGTTTTCTGACAGCTGAGGGTGTTGGCTATCAGAATACAATAGCCTGCAGGTAAGATTAGTCTATCTGTGCTGTTGAGTGTGGATGAATGAATCTGGAGTTCTGTCATTCCACCTGCTGGGCTGAACAAGAGAAAGCTTTGTGGAAGCTCAAGACCTCTTCCTAATATCAGCAATATGGGAAACATAGATGTATAGGTTGTTGCTGGCAGCTTCTCTAGAGATAAAAGTGCAATGCAGAGTGAAACACTCTCCCACTCAACCCACCCAATAATTAAAACACTGTTTTGAGTGGACCTAGCATTAAAAGCTCATATCCTGCCAAAACGTTTTTTTTCAATTTTGGATAGAGTTGGGAACTATTCAACAGCAACTCCGGCAGACATAAAATGTTTCTATTTAATAGGGTAGGGCTAAATCCCCTGTCTGGTTTTTATTACTGTCCGTGTGCCTGTTGCAGATTTTCTCTCACTTCCTGTTTGAGGAAAATGTCAGCAGGGCAGAAAGTGAGAGTAAATCTCTCTAACAGTGCCCCAGATAGCAGTAACAACTACAACATGAATTCTTTAAGTCTAAATTCTTTGCTAATGTGCCATTTTCTCCACAGTTTTGTTTGCTACATTGTAATTGCTGCTAACCAAACTGGACATTTCTAAATGCATAACTTAAAAAATAATGATATTGAGATGTTAATTCTTAATTTATGAGCAGTTTATAAGAATTACATTTTTGGACCATAAAACAATGCATGATTTTCCCCCAGCATGAATGGCAGTAATTATGTTATACCTCCGCATGTGTTGTAGAATTGTGCATGCAGGTCACATGAATGTGTTTAAATATTCTAGTAGGACTCATTTAAAGAGTAACTACTTGAAATACAATTAAGGTGAACCTTTTGTCAGGCTATATTTACATATTCTAACTAGCAGTAAATGCACTTTAAAACAAGCTCTGCTAAAATAGGCACTGTGGAACAATTCAGGCTCAATGTTCACTGCAGAAGCATGGAAATTACATTAGTATTATAATAATATATAAAGGATTTATATAGCGCGAATAGTTTGCACAAGACTTTACAATATAAAGGGAGACAGTACAATTACAATACAATTCAGTACAGAAGGAATAGTAGGGCCCTGCTCATGGAGCTTACAATCTAAAGGAAAGGGGGAGGTGGTAAAAAAAAGGTGACATCTGGTCTTCCCTTGCTTTCTCTTGCAGCAGGGACTTTGCAGTCTGCCAGCCTTCCTATGTAAACAGTTGATGCTGTAAACTGTCCAGAAAATTGCTGCAACCAGATTTCAGATTCTGTTGTTTTCTTTGAGGTTGAATTACTTTACAGTGCCAGCAACTGCAGAGCTCAGGTGTGGTTTGCTTTAAAACGTTTAATGCTTATTATAAATGTGTACGTAATTTAATGTCCAAGGTCTGGTCACAGGTTGACTTTAAGGTTAATACAGCTTGCATAACATTTTCTCTAGAACATCTTGTGGTCCGTGAAAGCTTTGCATTTGATCTACTTTTCATAGATGAACTTGACAATGTACAGGAACCATCGTATGGAAGACAGTAGGCTTGGGGAACACATGTCCTTTAGTACCTTAGTATTTTCAAGGATTGCATTAGAAATACATTTAAAGCAGAGGAGCTTAGTGATTAGTAAACTACAGACCTTTCACAGTTCTACTAATTGAAAGAAGGATGTTTAAAATGAAGGACATCTTTGTTGGGACAGCTCTGTCGACCTGAAAAACACAGATTCGATTTTCTTGTAATTAGGGAATTTTGTTACTATTACTGGAGCATATGTATTTTTTCTTATGTTTTGCTGTCTGTGGCATGTAATATTTGTCATGTGCCTGATTTCTAACACTCTGCCTATTGTTTTCCTTCAGTCCATGGCAGAGGTACTTGCCAAAAAAGAAGAGCTTGCAGACCGCCTAGAGAAAGCTAATGAAGAAGCCATAGCAAGTGCTATAGCAGAGGAAGAGCAGTTAACCAGAGAAATTGAAGCAGAGGAAAATGACATTGAAATAGATAATGAAAGTGATTTCTCTGTAAGTCTGTGGTGTGTTTTTGTATGTTGACTGATCCTAACTTAGTTTTCATAGTTAAACCACTTAAGCAAATTTTAAAACCACAATTACATTAATGACAGTTGTTTGAGCAGTGCCAGGAACCTTTTGATGTAACTTGTTTGATATTCCTTTTAAA